AAACTGGGTCTTCAAGAAACATTGGGGAAAATGCTTTATGCCACTAGAATCAGCTCGTCGAGCTCTATCGATTGGGGTACCTCTCGTTAGCATCTGTGATTAACACTTGGGATAGTTCCCTCGTTAGACATATGACAAAATTCCAATAATCTTGTTTTTAGCTGTCAATAACATTATATGATGTCTTGATTAGAAGTCTCATTCTTCAATCAATATAAAGCGTTTTCCTTTACTTTATTCACAGTGGTATATACAGACTGTTACACAAATCTTCTATCACGTTTGTCATATACAGTAGACAAGTATAGTACATCACATCACAATCACATTCCTGATGTGTACCTTCAAACGATAGAAGACCGTTTAATGAGACGCTACTTCTTAAACAAACAAGATAAAAACATGCTGCGATTTTTTCAAGTCAAAATAAAAGAACTACTGTAAAGCAATTTTCATTGATGAAAAAAATTGTCACCGACAATATTTTTACATGTCATCTTTCCTCAGTTTCATATTAACTAGTCAAATCATATATCGGTTTCTACTCGCTTTAAATTACATAGGAAAACTACCGCAGTAAGATGCTGTTGGTCGCCATCAAATTTGTGCTCAAGCTGATTTGTAAAGCCATAAACCCTCTAAAAATGATAGTTCACACTCACTTGTCTATGGTAATATTTACTCAATAATTCTTGTGCATCTCATCTTCAACAATAAATGTACAACTATTTCATTATTTTGCAGGATTTATACAAATAATGGGTGAAATAATGAAAAACAATGTTAATCATCGTCATATTCGAAAAATGAAACATCATTTTAATCAAATATTAATATATTTGCAAACTGAAACTACTTGTGTACTAAATATTGCTCCGCTCGAAATTTCATTAACAACTCAGTTATCATTGTCTCATTCGAGAGATTCATGTCCTCTATCATCACATTTAAAAACAAACCAAATTTTACACTCGACAAGTTACAGTGCAAAACGATGGCGCTTTAAACAATCAGCGCAACCACCAATTACAAATCACAAACGAAGAAAACGTTCTCATCATCAATATCCTTATCAAACAAAATCACGCAAAAAATGCAGTTCAAAATCAAAAACTGGTAAATATCAAAATCTCATTATTTTCGACAGTAGAAAAGTCAGAGTACTTGAATGTTTTGTTTTTATCGATGCTTTTTTTAACACGTTATGTTCATCTACAATTTACTTGACCTCATACTAGAAACTCGGCTCTCAATCGAATTTATAAAAGTCCTAATGAGGTTTTGAATGATGACTAGTGATTCCACCCCTTACTAGGAAATTATGCTCGGCATACATAAAACGGATTCTGAAGACGTTGTCCAATAAGTATATGGATAATAGTTATTTATTAGATTATCTGCAGCTAACATAATGAAAAATTTTGAATTTCACTTTCAAATGCGTACTCCCTTTAGCATTTAAGATGAAACGTTTGATTAAAATTCAATGGGAATGAATGTGTCGTAAGATTATTTTGACCAAGACAAATTCAGTTTGCTCGATGTTAAGTACATAAACCTAAAAAATACGAGCGATATTCCTCTCGATTATATAGGAAGGTACACTGGTTAACGAAATATCAAAAAGGATAGTAGAATACCATTCCCCGTACAGTACTACCGACGGCTGGACGGACAGACAGTTTTTATATGAATCTATATTTTCAGTATAGAGAACAATAGTGTTCTCTCAGTTCATCTCAAACTGACTTCTCCATTCGTCACATGAAATTTTTTTTCTCAATTCGTCCCAGATATCTATGTTCGCGCCTCAAAATAAATAAAGTGTTGCACCATCGAACAGTTTAGACGACGACGGTGGGTATTGTAGACAATACCAAATGCGCGTACGTAGCAAAATGTGCCGTGTTAGCCACTACTATCACAAATTTAAATCTAAATAAGTCGTGTTCATCAAAATGTTAATTTTCACGTCTACTGAAAAAGAGAAACCAGTTTTGAATCGTAATGGGTATCAATACACCAAAAAACGAGCAAACAAAACAAATAATCAATGGCGGTGTCGGGATCTAACATGTTCAAGTACAATATCATTATGTACAGAGGATGTGAAAATTTTACAGAATGAATCAGCACACACATGCAAACCAGATACCGCCAAAGTCCTCGTTGATATTGCTGTTATTTATCATATATACATATTTATCAGCGTACACAAGAGATACGAACAATTATATTAAAGCTAATTAAGTGTAAATTAATATGAAACGAATTGAGAGAGAAGTTTTGATGAAACGAACTGAGAAAAAAAATTCTGGGACGAATTAGTTGAGACGAACTGAGAAAAAAGCGTCATGGAACGAATTGAGAAGTCAATTTGGGATGAACTGAGAGTAAACCAGAACAATAAACGTCTTGTTGATGTATTCTAGATATTTGCTCATTCTCTCCATCAATTATCGTCAAACAACAAAATCAAAAGTTCCCAACCGAAATAGATTTCTTGGCTGCGACAACAAGTACCCCAAAGAGAAGAACACGTTATTTACCAAAAATGTCCACACCTCGACATCAGCATTCAAAATTTGTATCGTTAACAAAATTACTATATTAAGTAGACAGTCAAACGAAACTTGATCTTGGATCTCGACAACGTCATCGTATTTTCAAACAGCATACTACTGATCGAAACGAAATCTTTCGATGTGATGACAATGAGAAAAATCGAACAAAAGCTTCAAAATTTTCTAGTTGTAACAGATGGATTGTGTAAAATCATAAATTCACATTTTCTCTGTGTCGTTTCCTTGTGTATACAAACATATTTTATTCTTTTACGATAATACGTGCAAGAATTACGACCGAACCGGTTTAACTCTAAAAAACTTTTCAATCTGCTGGTGTTTTTTAAGTACATTAAAATCAAAAGTTAAACAGTATTACGGCTTGGCCAGCTAACTCTGCTACCGGGGTGAAATTTCGTCACGGATTTTTTGCATTTTGATCCTCTTACAGTTTTTGAATGGCGACTTGTCCTAGCTCTAGAACATCTCAAATTAACGAGAAAAGTCTGCTAACGATTTCGAGATTGTAAGATTCTACACAATTTTTCATTCAAAAATTACGATAAAAATACAAAGTACTATTTTTCAAGACATATCCGAAAAAGTAAGTATATGTATTTTTATCGTAGTTTTTGAATGAAAGATTATGTAGAGTGCGAAATCATCTCGAAAGCTTTAGCAGATTTTTCTTTAATCTGAGATGTCCCAGAGGTCTGGACAAGTCGCCATTCAAAAACTGTAATAGAATCAAAATGCAAAAGATCCTTCGGTAGCAGAGTTAGTTGACCAAGCCGATTAGCAAAAAAAATAAAGTTCTGAAGGCCAAAGCGCACTCTATTATTACATTCCGTAAATCAAAATCATTCCACATGATATGTGTTCATAATGAAATATTTCTTATGATTGCATCTGTTATCTAATATTGCTCGGTGTCGATATCGTGTAACGAGGAAATGTAAGAGAATGTGGTCTTCAATATCGAAAGTATTTCGCACTGGCGTATTTTTAATCTTTATCTCTTCGAAAAGTACATCAGATCAGCCCATGAATACGTACTTGTCCTCTATGATAGTTGATTCAAAACAGAAACGCGGTCGGTCCCCTCGATATTTTAACCAGTTCCTGCACTAATACATGTGCTAAGAAACATATCATTGTTCACACCCAGGACAATGAAAACGTCGTAGATGTCTACTTACGACCGGTTTACGATCATAATGATTGTATCCAGTCGTAAATCGTCGTATACATGTATATATCAGAGGTGTGCACAAGGCAGGACGATTCTGTCCGAAAAAAACGAATCAACAATAGATCCATTGCTTTTTCGGAAATCCCCACGAAGAAAAATTAATTACCGATGAAAAACTGTTGTTTCTCTCTCTATCTTCGTCTTGTTTTTGTTGTGAAAAAAAGTGTTTGTTTCTTAATAAAAAGAATAAAATTAAGTCGTTGTGACATAAAATGAAGAAAGGTGTGTGTTTTTTTAACTTTGTCGAGAAAAAATATTTGGTTAGTTTAATTTAAGATAAACATTTGGTATTTGTCCTGTAGGACAACGCGTCCTGACTTACCCTGTCGACAGGGCAGGAAGAACTATTTTTTATGAGTCATTCTTTAGACAGGACAGGACCGCACAGGGCAGAGCGGCAGGGCAAGACAGGTCGAAACAGAGGTGCAGAATCTACCCGTGAGATTAGGAAATTTCGCCCGATGATAAAAGATTATAATAAAATTTCCCCGACATGAAAGAAAAGAAAAAACAAAACAATGCGATTTGATTTTATTACAGCTAAAACTACTGTTTCTGTTTAATCACACATGTCTAGTTCTGGTATTTTCTTGACATAAACGTTTTAATACAATTGAGAACAGTTAGTTTTTGAAAGAACATAAAAAAGGAGATAGTCGTTAAAGGCTAACATAATTCTTCGTTTTTTCAAAACCTTAAAAAATTTCTCCGAAAAAAGTTTTTTTTCCCCGACGGCCGTCTGCATGGGCAACTGTATTCGATCATAAGTCACCGTTTACGATCGTATAAAATCAACCTGATCCAAAGATTTTAGGTAACTTTTATTGCACTGATCTTCTCACGACTGAATTTAGTATGACAACAAACTACTATGCGAAGGTAGGTATATAGACTTTTTTAAAAAAATAGAAGAATTATAACCAGAAGAATAAAAATCGATTAAAACTTCGATAACATAAGTTTTTAAGTAGTCTAGAATTTCTTTTTGTCCATGAAGACCACGTATTTTTTTCATCGTCTCTAGAGTATACTTGTAAATGAATTAATTTGGTTAATTTGTTCAATAGTTGTTTTAAAATGCTACCAAAATATTCGAGTGTCTTAACTTCAATCGTTAAAGATTCAATATTGGAAAATACAGACACTATAAGATCAACAGTCTCACTTGTATAATTTAATCCATATAATTTAAGTTCTTTGATTCTACTCATATTCTCCATTACAATTAGATCATTAAATATTGTTTGTTTAAGATCACAGTTTAATAAAGTTAACGAATGAAGATTTTTTGTTCGTTTCAATAATTCCATATTTTGAAAAGTTTTGCAAGACAAATGTAAATGTCTTAATTTATCAAGTTCAATTGATTCATTAAACTCTAATGGTATTCCATCAAAATCGAGTATTTGTAATGACTGTAAATTTGTAAATTTTAGTGCAGAGTGTTTGCTTTCATCATTGTTGAACGTAATGGATAGATTATGCACACGATCATAATTATTTGCGAAATTTAATGATTTTGTTTTAAAATATGTCCAATCAATTGCAAATGTTTGTTCTGGATAAGGTATCGTATGAAGAATGTAGGATAAATCGGTAATTAAATAATTGACATGAATTTCTCTATTGATCCAGAAATCTGTTTGAAATTTTGAATAGATACAATCAATATCGATCGGAAAGCAACGAGATAAATCTATATAGAGACTGAAGTGCTTTAGTAATGTTAACGATGAGATAATCGTCTCCCAATGTTGACTATCAATTAGGTCAGGATCCAAATCTTTGTCAGTATGGCTAGAAAATGATAAATACTCAATGTAAGGAAACTTAAGAAGTAATGATTCAATTTGTAAAAACGGAATATTGTCCACTTTTAATTCTAAATGTTTTAAATTTTGAAATGTGTCAGTAGACAATGTGATTGTTGTTGGATCATTTTCTTCCTTAATTGTTACTATTAAACGGTTAAGCAATGGTAGATGATAGAGAAGTTGACACATACTATTCACATTAACACAAGTAATTGTTAAATATTCGATGTTACATATGTCCGTATCAGAATCGAAATCATTTACTTCAAATCCAAGTAAACAACATGTTTTCAACGATGAAAGTGTAAATAGTGATTTCAAGATGTCTGATGGATATTCATTGGATATTATCGATAAATAAGTTAGTTGTTTTAGGTTCGACAATTTTGAAATAATGCTTCCAATCTCAAGATATGTTGGCTTAATTAATGTCAATGAACGTAAATGTGATAATTCTTCAAGTTTACATCGTGAATTAAATAATTTTATACCATCAATTGTAACTTGATTGGATAATTTTAATGATTTTAAACTGTTCTGCCATTTTGGAATGAAATGTTGACAATAGAATTTGAACTTATTCTTTGAAATATTTGATAAATCGAAGGTTGTGTTATTCAACTTATAAATGATCGTATTTAATCGAGAGTTTAAATTATAAAATGAGTCAATAACATTCGATGTAGGTATATAATCGAATATGTCTATTATCATTTCACATGGCAAATTATCGAATGTAGACATGACTTTAATGAAGTATTCTATGGTGTGCAAAAACAAGATTTACCAAAAGGTTCTTAATCTAAAAATTAGACACACAAAAATTATACGATACAAGTATAATTGACATAAAAAAATTGTTGCTCTCGTTGTGCACAAATATGTGGTCCTATTTAATAATTATCTCAGATATAGGGGAACTATACTGCAGTTTTTACTCTTGCAGATTGTATATATACTCGCATAATGCATTTGAGTCATTCAAATATATTTTATTGAAAAACCAAGCAAAATGTGTCACTCGTGTGTGCTTTACACGTCTAGACTACCAGAAAGAGAAAAAAATATAAAGAAAAAAATGTAATCAAATCAAGTTGTTGTGCACTAGTATTATGGAGCATTTCACATCCTTTGTAATTGAGTCAATAAATAACAAGATTATGAAATAGGTGTTCGGTTCATAGAGAAAAACAATGGATACTTTAATTATGTTTCAAGGCTGTACTTTCATGAAATTCCTTCTTAAGATAAAACCTTTCTTTTACTTTGGGATGAGATTTTTTTCTGTAAGTTTTCTTCCAGAATTCTACAGAAAAATGTTTTAGTATTTTTTATGCACGGAAAACAGGGATAACTGTTGACAAGACTACGCTCTCTCTCTATATTTGAGTTACTAGCATGCATTCATTAACGTAAACATAGTCAAAACTAAAGAGTATTGATAATATAATTATAGTACTTGACATTATCTCATAAAACAAATAGTAATATGTAAAATTCGTTTCGTACAAATAGTAACCAATGCAGATAAAAAAAATCGTTTGAGGGGTGCGGCGAGCACTCGAAAATAGGCTGAGGGCTCGAACTCTCTGAAAATGGTACTTCGGATTCTCGATATAACCTCGTATAGATTTCGAGTCCTCGGATTTCAGATAGGTAGCGAGTCCTCGAGAAAAATCTCGAGCCATCGAATAGAGATATTCGGGGCTTTCGAGCCCTCGCTCGCCCGATTTTTGACTTAAAATCTATTTTCTCTGCTAGAAATATGTTTTCAATCAAAACACACAGCAGATTTAGAAACAGCTCGTCAAACTGTATCGAATGATGTATATAACAAAATTTTTAAATGAGAAAAATTTTAGCGTTGATCTCCTTGATTTTTCATACAACTCTTTTTTAGATTTCTCCATTTCTCGAGAAAAAAATGCTAGCACAATGACGTTTTGCACCTTACATCAGTGGAACAGTGATAAGCCGGGTCGAATACAACCATCTTGGATAGTTGTCAGCTATCTGCTAGAGTATACACTGACACTGTTGAAGTCATGTATAGGAGTCTATTCTTGAGATTGCTCATGGGATGAGAAATACTTTATCGTACTTGTCAAATTCATTGATAAACGCACACTAGTCAGTCCAACATACAAGCATACGGTATAGTTTGTTCTTGAAATTTTTAAGTTTATTCGTTCCTGATGCGAAACACTATGCAATCTTCTCTTTGATTTCGTGCTTAAGAGAACATTTGTTCTGCATGTATAAGAATTACCACCTTACAAAAAAAAAACATCCTACAGAAAAAGCAAGTTGTTTAAAGTAGATATAGTACAATATAGACAATTAATGTAGAATGAAATTTTCGGCACTATAAAAGACATTAAAGTCTCTACAGCTTCCTATCATTCTTGTATTCACTTTTATCCTCACCGTGGAAAGACACGAAACCATTATTGTTTCGTCTTGTGGCAGTAGAGGATAAATAAGAGATTCGAACACAGGTATCTCTACTACGATACACATCAACAGAACACGTTAGACTATCGCGAATCGTTAACAAGTAAAAACAGAAACGAATGTATTTGACTTTAAACAAAGACAAACTAGAAAATATATTTCAGTAGTTGATCGAAAAATTATATTTTCTTTTTATTGGCTGTTCATTCATTCCTCCTCCAAAAAACTTCATGTTGTTATTAGGGTTGGAATGGTTTTAATAAATAAAGCATGGTTACTCTGTTTATACAACCATCAAACGTATTAGGGCTGTGACAGTTACCAGTTACCTTTACCACCGTTACCCGGTAACGGTAACTGCTGAACAGTTCCCGTTCCTGGTAACGGTAACGGATAAGCAGTTACCGTACAAGTAACGGTAACGACCAGTTACAAATAACGGTAACTGTTCAGTATATCTTTCAAGAGTCAAATCTCTAAATATATAGGTATCCAGGGTGAGGGTGAGGCTACGAACTTTCACCCTCACCCTGGATACCTAGATATTTAGAGATTTAACTCTTGAAAGATATACTGAACAGTTACCGTTACTTGTACGGTAACTGCTTCCACGTTACCGTTACAAAGAACGGTAACCGATCAGCAATTACAGTTACTGTAACGATAATGGTAACTGTCACAGCCCTAAAACGTATATGCACATCTGTATCATCAATCTTAAAGTTTGTCACACATGGATTCACGTTAGCTGATGGCATTATTTTAATACGATCTGAGAATTTATCCACATAAATTTGAGTATCTCGATACTATTACAATTTAAGCAAATAAATGTTTTCTCGTCAAATGTATGCCCAATTTTGTCGAATTTATATTTCAATTCTTTATGCTCTTAATATCGTCTTGTTATCAATATCTATCAACTCATTAAACGACTAATTAGTCCATCTCTATTACTCCACTTCTTTTGGAACATCGAAAACATCTTTCTCTCTATGTGAATAATTATTATTCTCTTATTTAAACATAAAACAAAAACTATGTATATTTTGAAGTTTTTATTATTGTCAAACACAATCATTTCTCGTAATTGGACAAAATAAATAAAGTTGTCTATCAACTTTTGTTCTTAATTGCTTTCGTTATATTAATAAAATCGCTCATACTAAACCTAAAACTAAAATAAAGTACCAAATTGAAGTTTAAAACACTTTTTTATTTTTCAATATTTTTCCAATTAGAACCTTATATTTTAAAATCAGAATTACATGATACCATAGAGATTTTTAGGGTGGTCTTAGCAATCCGTGACACCATTAGGTGTCACGAGGTAATGAATCGTACTGGCCAAAATAATGAAATTGTCGCAGCACAAATTGAGACTGATGAAGGCTATATATTGATTGCCTCTATTTATGTGCCTCCAAAAGTAAAGCTCAATAGAGCTCTGTTCCGAGAGCTGTATCAATTAAACCCAGACTCGTTAGTTATTGGAGACATTAATGCGGCTTTACAGAGCATGGGCTCCAGAAAAACTAATAACAAAGGACGACAGCTGCAACTGCTTCTAGAGGAAAATATTTTTTTTTGTATTGACGACTCACAGGCTACATATGAAAGAGATAGATACGAGGAAAAGTACGCCATCATAATAAAAGGACAAAGCAAGTTTACTCTGGAAAACTGAAGTATAAAAATCAGACGGCTTGTACAGACAAAGAAAACGCAGAGATATTTGCAACGTACTTTAGAGACGAGGTCTATGCAACAAAATCCGATGATCTGCAGTTTCATCAACACGTCTCAAATATAGCTAGGCAGAAAATTATCATTTTACAGAAAAAATGGATTCGACAGGTGTCAGAAATTACTACAAAACAAATGATTAGTTATTTGAAAACACTCAAGAACACTTCTCCAGGCCCTGACAATGTTCACAACAGATGCCTGAAGAATTATACAACACCTCTTATACAGCATTTGACTAGACTATTCAACAGTTCAATAAAAACCGGCTATGTTCCAAAGTAATGGAAGAAGGCCTACATAATTTTACTCCTAAAACCAAAGAAGAAAAAGGAGGATCCAAGCAGTTATCGTCCCATTAGTTTATTAAGTTGCATAGGCAAAATTATGGAAAGAATCATGAAAGATCGTCTGATGAATATCTTGGAGGAAAGAAATATTTTTCCGCTAGATCAGAGTGGTTTTAGGTCGAAAAAGTCCACAATGTACAATGTTTTGCGTCTTCAAAACTTTGCAAAGCATAATTTAGGAAAAAAGCATCATTCTGCCGTTATCTTTTTTGATATAAAACAGGCGTTCGACTCCGTGTGGCATAACGGTCTGATTTATAAACTATTCGATTTGAAGTTACCAGACTATATCATCCAATGGCTGATATCCTTTTTACATGAACCGACAGCAGCATTAACAATAACAATTTGAAAATCTGTTATCAACGAACTTCAGCTTGGGAAGTGAGACGCCTCAAGGCTCTCCATTGTCTCCACTTCTCTACATACTCTACACTGCGGATTCTGTGACGGCAATATCCGATCACACGCAGTATGGGTTGTTTGCCGACGACACATCACTACGGGCGGCTTGCAACACCATCTCAGGACTCAACAAACGGCTGCAAGCCTCGGTAGACGCATTTTATCGTTGGTGTAGTTCTTGGAAGCTAACTTTGGAGCCCACGAAAACGAAAATGCTGCATTTTAGTCCACATCCGCGTAAAAATTATCCCAACCCAATCCAAGTATTAGTAGGAATAATAGTGATAAAGTCAAAGTCATTGACGAGGTATTTAGGTGTAACTTTTTACCAGAAACTTAAATGGAATGAACATGTGAAACACATCAAAGACCGCACTCAATCACGAATTAGTCTTTTACAATTTCTGTCCATGTCAGCACCGCAAACGAATCCCAAAATAATGACAAATCTTTAGTAAGACCTATTTTAACGTACGGATCATCAGCTTTATTAAAAGCAGATGAAAAAATATGGAAAGCGCTGCAAACAGAACGGAACAAAGGACTTCGAGCTGCACTACTACACTTCGTTCACATATATCCATCAACAAACCAAGATGTTAAAACTAAAAGACTACTGCAAAACTCTGGCACAACAAGCTCTCATACGCGCACAAGATAACAAAGATGACATTTCAGCAGAAAATCTACATGCACTTTTAACAGATTTGTAAATACTGCGTAAAACTTAGACTAATTCAAATTTTCTTTTCTGTTATTTAGCTGACAAAAGACTTCGGTCATGTGTCAGAGCTGTACTTAGCACTCTACAGGTTTATTCAAAATAAACTGCTGTTACCTTATAGAGATTTTTACTCGTTGTCGAGAAAAACTTCTTGTAATCAAGATCTTATAATTTCTCGCATTTAACATTTTCTCACAAGAACTCTCGTTGAAAAAATTTAAAAAGTCAAGAGCTCAGTATCAAAACGTTTCAACTGAATTGTAAAAACAAAGGAACAAAAAATAAATATTATATTTTTCATATAAGTAACTTTGTAAACGAAATGAAACATTGTTTTTCTAATTTGAATTATAAAAAACTCTTTTTCTGTTCTGTTCATTGTAGAACGGCAATACTTGGTGAAAAGTATCAGCCAGACGTATTTTTTACACTTCTCAATTGTGAGTTTGCAATGGCGACATTCGATATCTTATCCACTACAACAACATTTCAATAAAAAAGAGGCATAACAATCAATAATTCTTATTTCGATACACACTCTCATTTCTGCGTCAATATATATAAATTTTCATTTTTGCTTTGGTCAAAGTTGCTGGTCTCAACTATTCTTTTTCTCATTAAAACTAAGAGTTTCACCATTATTTCAGTGTAAATGAACTAATTCATATTTGCCTTTCATACCCTTAACTAACGAGAAAAGAAACAATTATTTTTGAATAAAAAACGGTATTATTAATGGACACATCTAGAAATATATATTACTATAGTAATTGTATCGTTACTCCAAAAGAATTATCGAATGATTAATTAGATACAGGTCTGAAAACACATTTTGTTTTATGATTGCCAATCTGAAACACAGATTTCTAACTTTTCAGTTTCAAGATTCAATCAATCTTAAATTATTTATAAAATATTATTTTTTCCTCAAATAGGAACAAACAATTGTTTTCCATTTAAAAACTACTTCGATTAATCGTACATTTCTCAAGGTCAGGGTGACATTTTTTGAAAAATTCTACCAAATAAGTTTCATTTACTCAGTAAAAACTATCATCAAGTTCATCTCTTTTTCGTTTTCAACAACTAATAACCACAATAACAATCCAATCACAGGAGAGAGATAGAAAAAACGACAAGCGAAAAAAAATTTCATTTCTGTTGAAAAAAGAATAGTGAAACCTTATGTACATAACATGCACACAAACAAAAAAAAAAAGAAGAAAAATGAGAAATATACAAATTCACGTGCTCGAACTTTACACGAGAAAATCAGACAAATGACTCATTCATAATAGAAAATGAAGCCAATAATAAATAACAAGAGAGAGTTGATAGAATTTTTTTCTATTCACTGTGTGTGTTTGATCAAACAATACGACAAGAGAAAAAGAAAAAATTAACGAACCGACTAAATTTTTAAAAAATGTAAAAAAACACTTCATATACATTAATATTTAAATGCCATATACAACACGGACATTTTCCCTCAATTGTTGAGCTACATCCTCTATTGATAATTGTTTTTCCTGAGCGATCACTTCAATTACATTGTAAACAAATATTGGATGAGCATATTTGATGCCAGACAACTAAAATGACAAAAAAACAAACAATGTATTATCAAACTGTTTATTCTTCTGATATAAAGATGAAGAGCATAGCAGCCATTTGAGAGAAAAACGTACGTATTAAAATTTCACTAAACAAGACAACTTACTTCTTCTGGCACAAAATATGGAGAATCTGTTTCGCTTAATAGCCTGTTAAGATCTAAATCTTTGATAACAGCACGAATATCGGCACCACGATTTGTCGATATCAATGGTGTAAAACCCAATTTTAATTCTGTAAAATAATTTATAAACATATTGGCATCTTCGAGTCGTCCACAAAAACAATGTAAATGAATTTTATGATTTTTTGGTAAATACTAAAAATATGAAGAGCACTTCGTTATGGAAAATCTCATTGTATAAAAACATAAATCTTACTTTTTTCATTAAATTAAATGTTAATTCGTATGCTCCACGTGAGTGAATTACTAATGGTTTTGAAAATTTTGCAGCTATCTGCAATTGAGCAATAAAAGCTCGTCGCTGGTCTTTTTCGTCACAATTATTTCTGAAAAAAAAGAAGACATATATACTCATTTAATATTCAATCTGTAGATAATAAAGGAAAATGTCAATAATGAACAATCAGATATCCCTCTTTGACTCTGCATCTAAGTTCACCTGAGAAGTAGAGAGGAGAATATCTTCCTTCAAAAATAAAACGATATAAACTGTATCTAAAATGTGTAAATGTCAATCGGCAAAAGTTATACGCTTTATTTTTTATCATACAAAAATTTTATCTTGGCATATATTTGTTTATAACATACATACTTTGGACCAAAATCGAGACCACATTCGCCGATTCCAAGGACTTTTGGATGTTTTAAACATCGTTCAATATCATCAGCGCATGATGGCTGCCATTTATTACTCCAATGGGGATGAACACCGCATGTTCCATATACACGAGAATCGTCCAAATACTTCGAATAATGATCCCAATTATCTGTGTAAATAAGAAAATGACAAAATTGTACTTATTTTTACATTACATTCACTCAGTAAAAATACCTCGAGTTAAGTGATTTGGTCGCCAATAAACTTGAATGGCTTTTTCGAATTTTAAATTTGATGGATAAAGATCTTTATATTCTTTATCAAAATAATCGGTGACAGTTATCTTATTTATTGACAAACTAAACAAAGAAAAATCAATGAAACAATTTACATATAACAATTATATGGTAACATTCATCCTTTAATTTTTTATCGAAACTACCAGTTTAAGTTACTGATAATATTTGTTCAAAGATAACAAAAATGGTTCGAGAAAATATGATAAATAAATTTCTTCATAAACTTACCGATCAAATAATAAATCAAAATGACAATGAGTATCGACTAGAGACGATATTAATCCATTCTTTTTCATTCGTTCTTCAATCTCAATCATTTTCTGTTTTATGGATATTTTCATTCCATCTCCTGAATCTATCTCGTCATAACTATTATCGTGATATCTAAGAAGAACATAAAAACAAACAATTATTACTATTACTATTACACTATATATATGTTTCAAAATACTAACGAATTTTGATGATTGTAAGATTTCAAAGAATATCGTTGATTTGAACAAGTTGAAGAATTGTAACCATGATTATTTGATTGATATAAACGACGATTCGTTTCGATTTTTTGTTTTCGTTGCTGAAAAGGATAGGAATGACGTTGCTCATTACACGTACGCAATACCCCATCATTTCCAGTTGAATCTGAGAAGTCATTTGGAGATGATGAGCTGAAATAAGAAAAAAAATGAAAAATCGTATTATTCAAAGTCAAAACAGTTTTCATCTAAGAAATAATCATCGACCATAACAATTATTACAGAGTTTTAATGAGAAGCAAGAAGAGAATACTATCTAATTGATACAAATTGCCAGTTCGACTCTAACTTACGGTTCATCACAACAGCCTGGCTCTCTAAAACGTGGCGGTCTGCTATTTTCCTGATGTTCGGAATGATCAAATTTTGGCTGACAATCTTTGGTTTGTTGTGAATGATTTGACGTAGAATGATTAATGTGATTATGATTATTTTTCGTAGAATATTTAGAAAAAACTGATCCAGTTTGACTACTGTTTGTTTGAGATTTATTTATTTGAAATAATGGTTGAATTTGTTTCTGAGATGTTGCTGTTTGTGTTTGATATCTTTTGTCTTGAAGACGCAAAGAATGAGGTAAACGAGTGTAAGTTTTTGGTAAAATATCTTGTTGATGATGCTGTACCAGATCATGTTCTTTTTTCTCTATCGGTGAACGTTCAAAACGTGGTAATGGATCTTGATTGTACAACGATAAATGAGAAAGTCGTTGTTGTTGTTGTTGTTGACAATGATCTGACGCTTGCCTCCATTCAATATCTGCTGGTGCTCGTGATGGCTTTTTCTGAGAAGATGATTGAACAACAACGTCCGTTTGTACTGTCATTACTGGAATCCCTTTTTCTTGAGGTTTTGATTTTGAATCGAAACTTTGAAACTGTTGTACTTGATGCTCATTCGTTTGGTTTTTCTCGAAACTAATTTGATGTGGGGACGATGACGATGAATTAAGTATGTCTGTTCGTTCGTTTTTTTCACTATGATCTTCATTGTATGAACTATTTGTAAATACAATTGAATCGTTAGTAAAGCGCTCTTCATCTCCTGAACCCGATGATGTCGATGTTGTTCGAGTTTTCGGTGGTTGAGAGTGATGATTGACAGGTATTTCTTCTACTTTAACATCTGATTCAATCAAATATTGTAAACTGTTAATATCATCTTGGTTGATATTACTTGATGGATGTTTTGGAAAACGATTCTGATAAAATTGCGGTACTTTTTCAAAAGTATAATGAGATTTTTCATCGTGTAGCGATAGTGGAGGAGTACTAAAAAACGTTCTTTCATTGCTTTCATTCGCTGTTATTTGAGCATTTTTTCGCGGTGATCTTAAGTGTTTTTCATTTGATAAAACTGCTCGAGATGGCGGCTGCTGTGAGTAATCCTGACGTTGACGATTATCATCATAAAAATTAGATGATTGTTGCACATGAGTTTTCCCATTCAATATAATATTTTTTCTTGTCGATTTTTGATAGTTATTGGGATTATGAGAATTATGCGATTGTTGATTCCCATTGTTTGAATTAAATAAAACATCTCTAACACCACCGTTCTCCATGTTCGAATGTTGTTTGTCTAGTGGACGTACTAAGATCGTTCGTGAAGTAGAATGATAATAATTTGCCTGAGGCATATTTTGCGAAATTTGCTTTGTTGATGGTAGCATGCCTAAAAAAGAAACAAGAAAACATGTCACAAAAATAGCTGGTATATATGCGAAATATGAAAGTTCCGAATTTGTTAAAATTTAGTCAGAGGATTTTACAAAGTACGTATAATATTGGAAATTAGGTACGTTTGATTATTGTTTATCTCAATGCTGTCAAAATTCATTTTTCGTCAAAAATAGCATTCGATGCAACAAGGGTAAAATTAGCTCGACTTAGGAGAGATCGACAGGAATACGCAATTCGATACATAGTTTCAAATTTCTAAGTGTAACTATACGAAGCAAACTGCAAACACGGAAGAAAATTAGTCCTGTTATATATTAATTAATCTTAAATGCATTTAAATCACCATTACATCACCCACATAGAGAGCTTCTTAACGCGCTACTAAAGTAGGTAGTTTTTAGTGGTGTAGTCAGGATTTTGTTAGTGGGTGGGCGTTGCCACAAAAAGAGAAAAATATTAGTGCAGAGTAGTGTGAATTAAGAAAGGGGGAAAAAGCAGTTTCGGTATGTAAAAAACTGTTCGGTATGTGAGCGGTATTTTCGCTACTCTTTCAAGATGGCTCATTTCTTTTTGCTTAAAAAGCTCATTTGAGAACTTCTTGAGATCTCAAAAACCAGCCTTCTAGGAGATTTCCAGAAACCCAGATTTCTGTTTCCGCAAGCAGAACAAAAGGGTTCTGTCTGTGGAAAAAGAACTCCCAGAACAGAACACAATTGCTGCCTTATCCGTGAAATTTCCGGATAAAAACACAGGATTGTTCTGTTTTGGGAGACAGAAATTTCAGTTGGTATTTGGGTATGTGAGTAGTATGTGTACCGTATTTTTTTCGGTATTAATGCTGCTTTTTCTTCTTGGAATTAAGAAATTTTAAGTTGATAGACAAAAACCATTAGTGAATCGGCGCCGCCTATCCCAGCTCATCCATGGGTGATTTTATTACACTTTCTGGGTAATGTCATACATCTGTCTGAAAAAAAGAAAACAAAAGTATTTTTATACTCATCTTTTATTTTCATTATCGCACAAATAAATTAAAATATACATAAAAAAGAAATCTGAGTAATGTACTCGTGTCATGAGAAGAGTAGTTTTAATAATCACTGCCGATAATACAAGAAAACTCAGTTACATGTACATGTATTTGCAACATGAGCGAGAGAAAGAGACAACAAAAGAATACGCGATCATTTTTTCTCATTATTTAAGTACTATCCTCTGTAGTTGTTTACACGTTACGCAAAAATACTACTGAAGTTATCAGAAACCACATAAGTCTACTTGAATTTTACTAAACGTTTACTTTAAGATTCAGACTTACATTTTTTTTGTAAAGTTTCTTTTCAGTTTTCATTTGAAAAAACTTTCTCCGTTGTTAAAACATTCATTTCCACTATTTTCGCATTCTGTTTATCTTCTTTCTAATTTAAACGTAGCAGAAATGGGAAAACTAAAAACGCATCAAACTTACTAAAAATTTCTGGAGGAAATGTGAACCGATTATTCCACTCAAATCGATAATAGACGATAGTGTACGTCTATACCTAAACGACCAAAAATGCATATCTGTTGTTTAACATACTTACATTTACCTTCCCATAATCGATCTTGATCTTCAAACATCGTCGGACATGAATGAATGTTCAGAATATTATGTTGCCTTTTATTACCATTTTGTTTTCGCTTTTTTTCTGTAAAAGAACCCTCGTGTTTTTGCGGATAAATATTGTTTGATGATGAGGAATGATCGAAAAAGGACATAGGAGATACTTGAGAGCTAGAAATGCAAAGAAAGCTCAATTATTTACTTCAGACAAGATTTTCTAACTTACTATTCTTCATATTGTGTTTCTTTAATGGAGGAATTAGCAACATCAGACGCCAGAGAAATCTCTGTATTGCATTTAGTTTGTTCTGGCGTTTGCTGATCATGTTGTGAAGTACTATCAACAGTTTGATGTTTTTTAATATTGTTTGGTTTTACACTTTCAAAATATGTATTCTGATCCGTCGTACATTCAACAGCAGACTGTTGTCTTGTCTCATCCGGTGATTCGGGCTGTGTGTGTTCCTTAACACTAGCATCACTATTACATCTGGTTGACTGCGATATTTGCTGCTGCTTCTCTTCTTGTTTCAAATTGAGAGTTAATGCATGTTCTTTGGCCACTTTGACGAGCCAGGAATAGGATAGAGAATCCTTTTTTACTGTAGGTTTAACACGCTCTTCAGACACCGCTCCGACCATTATGAAAGCAATCTTCTCCCGAACCGTTAAAAACTTTCACGTGTGAAACTAAAAAAGAACACAGTTAAAAGCTTTTCGATTGTAAATTAACTAAACTTTGATTAATTGAAGCAGCAAAGACAGTTATTATAGTAGAAAGAAAAATACACGCACGTACACGAGTAAAACAATGATTCATTCAACGCAGGTGATTAGACAGATAGAACCAACGAGACAAAACCATCATAGAGCGCCACAATGTCAGGTGAAGTAAATAAGAACCGGTAAGAGATGCTGTCAAAGAAGAAATAAACAAACGATTGTAGTTTCTCACAAGACTCCACATTTACTCAACGTAAAATTTTAAATTGATTGTAGTAGTGTATGTTTCTGACGTATCTTAATCGTAATGATAATACGGTGAGAGTGGATTTATTACATTGCAGTTTTATAGTTGTAGAAAATATAATATAAAGCACTCTGGTCTCATAGAGTAACTTTTTGAAAAATTGTTGAGCAAGACCATGAGAAACATTTTTCTAAAGTATTCCGATCCACATACTCTTATATGTTGATAGTGGAATAACGCAGAGTGAATCGACTTCAGGATGATATCCGAAGTCAATGAACCTGACATTTAATAACTCATGTATAGTCTGTTAACTGCATGACGAAAAAATTGACTTGTAATTAGCTAAAAACTGTTAAAAACAGTTCGTTAACAATCACCACTTTTTGTCCTTTATTTCACCATGAATCACGCCATAAAAACTATATGTACTTAAAACTAAAATCCACATAGACCGTTAACTACCTATTAGCATGCTATTTTAGAACAATTAAAATAGATTTCAATAATTGCTTATATTATCCGTAAATTTATTGTTAGCCAAACGTTTCGGCTTGGTAAAGCCTTTATCAATGGCACATAATAAGAAAACGGTCAAACAACTGAAAATAAAACTAACATAAATCTATAGATTTATGTTAGTTTTATTTTCAGTTGTTTGACCGTTTTCTTATTATGTGCCATTGATAAAGGCTTTACCAAGCCGAAACGTTTGGCTAACAATAAATTTACGGATAATATAAGCAATTATTGAAATCTATAAACCAAATCATAATCCGTACGCAGCATGAATTCTACTTTTAACAATTAAAATATCAAGAAAAAACCTAGTACTTAATGTTGGCAGCTAAATGTCCATTTTTAGCCATTTGTCAAGAGATCATTCAACGTGTTGTTTTGTTATTACGACCAATATGTATTAGTCTCTGAATCTTTTGAAGAAACTTGTTGAGAATTTTTTCGCTTCTTCGATTATACAAGTCATCAAAACCTGCCACGAGAAGGTAGCCTATAGTTCTGCTACCAGTGATGGTACCATAGTCTTGAGAAACCCAAAATACAGAAATTTGCATAAAAACGGTCAAAAAAATTTGTCGCAATGATCTAAAAATGTCAATCTAACAAACCTTGGACATTGGATGGGTGTTAAAAGAAAGCAATTCGACATATTTCATGAGAAATTTAAATATCAAATTTATTCATTCTTACGTTAGGAACTAACAAAATTTTATTTATATTACAGAGGTACTCTTTTATATTCAGAAAACAGCATTTGACGGTACAATTAGAAATTAAATAATGATTTTGCAACACTTCACAAAAACAAAACATTTTGCTTAAAAAGTTTTCGTGACATCCAATCATTCAATAGAAAAGTTGTCTATTTTAGATAATGAATCTATAGACAACCTTGAGAAAGCAATAGATAATTCTTTTCCAACTATCAATGAGCGACAGGATTCGATCGAATCGAACATGCGTAATATTGCTGCACTAATTATCAAATTGTAGTTGGAAGTATATACCAGTTATATAATTTAGATCTAGTCAACTGTTCTGAAATATGATCGGTCAAAACCTTACTGTTCTTCCGAACGATAAGCGACGGAGTAATCTCAGTCTAGAGTAGACTGAATCGAGTTTCAGAGGCTTTCACAAGTAGTAGCGTAACCACAGTACGGCGGCGCCATACCACCGGGAATTTTTGCCGTGCCATTAAGAAAAAGTATAAAATCGGGTAAAAAAAAACTTACACTACTCTAAACAGATGTTCGAAAAAAACTACGGCGCCGCTGTACTACCGTCGTTTTTCTCGTTCCGCCACTATTCACAAGGTAGTTACAGCTTCTTGAATCAATTTCAATGTAAGCTTGAGTTTACTAAGCCTTACAAGCTCCGCCGTCCGTCTCATACTCATCGTCCGTTCGGCTTGTACACAGGTTGTATACCGTGAAAAAGATTATTTATATGATCGGTTCTATCTGAACAAATAAGTCGGCCACTCAAAGAACTGGTCGTTTTTTTCGTTAGTTAATCTTAAAATTACTAAACTAGAAACAAGCATAAGACGAACGTATTGAATCCTTTTATAATTACAACTGGGCCAAATGTAATCGAATATGGTTTTCTGTCAAAGTTAGACTTTCTAATATTATTCTTTCTGAGACTATGAGTGCATCATGTTTTACTCGGGTTTTTCTTGGAGAACATGATCCATTTGAAAACATACACACTACTTCTAAAGTTTAGCGAGTTGTGTAAAGTTATTCGATTCAAAGAGAAATATTTTTTAATTTTTATGAACAAAAGAATTCTTTATAAAACAAGCCGGTTGTGTATAGTCAGAGGCCTGAAATTTGGGGAGGAGTAGGGGGGAGTGTACACTTCCCCGAAAATAAAAGTTTTTCGTTTTCTCCCAGCGGAATTAAAAAACCTTTTTTGTATTTTTGGTACACCTCCCAAAGCTCACTCCCTATTTAGGTCCCTATGTATAGTAACACTTATAACTTCATGCAGCACATTTAATCTAGGCTTAAAACCAAGGTTTATATTGACCAAAATGAGTATCTTAAAATCTTAATTGGAATAATCACATAAACTACCTTCTCACTACCTGTCAGGATGTGCACTTACATATTGTGCTGTCTCTTCTCTTGCTGTGGATTTCTCAATGGTAGTTCGAAATATGACTTTATTAAAATAGAAGTGAAAAAAGTTGATGTGTGGGTTTTATCGGTAAGGTAACGTTTGTGACAAGCATATCCCCACTTGGACGTAAATGTACATCCGTAGATATTGATATTTCAAACAATTTGCTGTTTGACGAAAGCTAGCTGTGGTTGAGCTACTCTTTCTTCCGTTCGTCAAACAGGAAAAAATGCAATTTTTCGTTTTGTGCATTGCCTAAGAAGTCTTTCTTTTGGGTTGTCAAAAGTCGATGAGGAAACAACAGTTGAACTTTACAGTAGAAGTAGTCGATGTAACTTTCTCTTAATTCTCACAACCTCTACGACACAGATGTATACTTATCCTAGAGGCTTGTTTGATTATGATACGGTAATAGGAATTTACTGACATCCGAAGTCACAGTCAATACCGCGCTGATGAAAATCTTTTCTCATCTTTTGCTCTATGTATGAGGAAATTTCTTTAGCTACCTTGAGTCACGCCATGACTCGATTATCTTATAAATTGATAATTCTCACGACAAGGCTCTTACATTCAAGAGTCATGTTGCATGCAGTTTTGAGCTCCTCGAAAAATTTAGCAAAATTCTAAATATTTGTTTCGAAATACAAACTCATTGCACTGTATTTTTTTCATAGACAAACATACTTGTACCAACTGGACTAATAAAAAGAAAAGTGCAGACAAATTGATCAGACGAAGTTTGCAATTCGTATCATATCTGAAGTAAACTGCGTATATCTCTTCTGCTATCCCTAAATAAATTTTAAGAATTATTTTGTGTATATAGAAAAAAGAAAGTCTGGACCAGAATAGACAATGTCCGCGTAGATCAACACGTGTTTTTTCTGTATCGTTCTATTCGTATCATTTATATCTATCAAAAAAAATTTTTACTATAGAAAATAAAGCGATATATGTAAATCTAAACGTTCTATCAAAAATCATAGAAGTTTGTCTATACATCTCTACACGTTATCAATTAGGTGCAACTTTATTATTTATTTCTTAGTATTTGTCTAATTTTGTAAACATGGAAGAAAAAAAGGTAATTATAGCGAAAGAATATGAGGCTGCTTTACACTCGAAAGTTTTATTTGAGACATTGGTTGAAACCTTGGAGCTGTTTAAGGGATATCTGCAGTAGTGATTGATAGGGAGAGGTGGTCCGAAGTAAGAAATGTTTCGCGCTGTTTTTCTTCCACAAATTTTTGCCCAATTTTTTCTCAGTGAACTTGTCGAATAAATTGGCTACTCAGTTCTTCAAAAGTTTTTAATAAGAATGTTTTTGCTCATCTTCCTCAATCCTGGCTGCGATACTAGATTTGGGAAGATCTATTAAATGCTTTTTTCAACGAATTTTAGAACTAACCGATGTAAATCAGTTGTGATTTGTGGAATATATCACTAATATTTGGCAGAAAGTTAAACAGCACGCTATCCTTGTTAAGATGTCTGTACTTTGTATCTGTTTCAATTGTCAGTGTGGTTTTGGATTTTGTTTGATAAATGGGGACACAAGCAGCGTACGTATTTTTTCTGTTTTTAGAGAAACAGATTACTGAATGGCTAATTGTTTCTTATCTTTGATTTTAGTCCACTATAACATTGTGTAGTTTTCGGTATAAAAACACTATGATTGTACCAAAACATGGCTTTCTCAACTTTTTACCCGTTAAACTTGTCTTTGATGTAAACACACCTCGTCCGCACTTTATCATTGTTCAACAAGATAAACGTCGTGCAAGACATGCAACGAGCGAAGAAATAGATGCTACATTCGAGTTGGTTACATATTTTTTGATTAAAAATCATGCATACGATCGTCAATCGATATTAAGTTTTCATCGCGGGAAATGGTATCAACAAAGCAATAAAAAATGGCATGCTCATTTATGCGTACCGTTTCAGCCGTATGCTGATGAAGCCAGTTTGAAAGTACTTACTGCTAAAGGCAACGTTCACTTAATTTATATACATTTTCTACTTTTAGATTACAAAAAAACGTTCGAATAACGAGTGGTGTAATGGCACTACGTATGTAATGGCAATGTTAAATCGGCACCTTAAACAGCAACATTTGTATGCTTTGTATAAGAATAAATGCGTGGAATATGGAAAACAAGGAATACTATCAGACGATTCAGTCAGTGATGTTCAATTACAATTATTTGAATCCGATGATTTTGGGTTAGTATGGATGTGTCCAGAGCCTCGAATTGGTGTGTTTGTAAAACAAAATCCAAATAATCCATCCCTTACTCTACGAATGTTATACAATTTTTTATCAAAAACAGTTGAACAAGTTGAGCAACGATTATCAGCAATTAATAAACAGTATCAAAATTTTGGTAGTCATTTATGTTTATTTGTTAATGGACAAGAATATACGTGGAATTTAACGTATCAAATATACCATTGTTTGACAGAGATGGGACATCTATCACCTATTTCAATTGTGGGTTATATTCAAATGGATGAGCAACAATATTTTCGATGGTTGCCTTATGAGTTTAAACCAGTGTGGTTAACACATTTTGAACACTTTGAACATATTGTTCTGACATAATATAATGGATAATCTCACCCTATTTTTGAATAATTTGTTTTGGTAACCCACTATTTCTTACTTGTTCTGTGTAATATTTTTCAAATAATAGATAATGAAATTTCTAAATAAACAATACTAATTTTTCTAAAATGAAAATACACCATCTTATTTTTCAAGATTCAAGTCTCACTCTCAAAGACTTTTTTCGATATTACCTAACACAGTTTTTACGGGAATAGTGATGATAATCCTTCTGAAAAGTACTTTTATTCACTAAAGCAAGTCTTTTGTTGACGAAAGATTCGATTTTATTGGTGCTAACTCTCTGTCACGATTTTCTACTCTATGCAGAATGATTTTGGCAAATGAGTATATAAGAAATTCCACAAAATCGAACAGTTTCAGATTCAAATTAGCTTTCTTATTGAAGAGATTTATTTCATAGACGTAAAAGTATAGATATTCATCTTCAAATTTTTATTTTAGAGTTATCTGTCAAATAAGATTGTTTGCTTGTACAAAACGTATTAATAACACTTAATTGAGATGGATCAATCATTACAAGTAAGTAGCTCATTTTCATACTAATTGTTACATTTAAATAGTGAAAAAAAACTTACTACAATATTTATAATTATGCTAGGTAAAACTATATTTTATTGATTTTTGTTTAGAGTTCACAGGTATCACGTTCTTATAGTATGGCAACAGGTAGAAAAAAGCACGTATATCCATTCTTCTATTAGAATCATCTATTCTCTATTATATAGGTCTAACTAATGAACAGTCATACAATAGTATTAATTTATCGGGCGCTATTCAGAATGATCCTGGTTTATTAGCCGAATATATCAAACAACAAAATGCTTCGAAATTAAATACAATAATACCACCACCAACAACGACAAGTAAAAACCAGATGTATACAATAAGTGAAAATATTATCGATGAACAAGTTACATTATCATCATGGGCAGATTATCAACGAAATGTATGAAAAAAATTTTGTTTATATAGATAAGTCAATTAATTTATACTTTTATTTAAGTATTATGATATGAATTTAAGTCAGACATCGTCTGAACAACAAGCACCGTTTAGATCATCACAAAGTTCTTATGGTAAGTTCAAATTTAAAATAATAACACTATCATTAATACATTTCTTTTCTTTTACAAGATCTTCGTCCTACAAAATGAAATTGAAAACATTGTCAGATAATTATTGTATTTTAGAACTTTCAGTTTTTGTTCAGTTAAGAACAGTTCATTTTTTTTCTTTGATAATCCAGAACTTATTTGTTTTTGCTTTTTTTTGTTCGAAATAAACAGATGTGTTTAATAACGAATTAAAAGGATATTTCTGTTGATGCATAAATTACAATGAGTCACAGAATGGGGCATACTATAAATAAAGATCACCTTCCGCATGTAAGAACGAAAAAATTGACAGAACCTACCAGTTTCTGTGAATCTGGCTGGCATCAGTGGTTTTGTAAAGATCTGTTCACAGAGTTCAAAAATATGGCAATTGAGCAAGACGATAGAGGATACCAAATATAAAAAATGTTCATGAATCCTGTAGGAATGTAGCTTGAGATGTGACGGTTAGAGCTCTGCAGGTTACGACTTTTTCACAACCTATAACCTAATCTAAACCTAACCTATTCGTGTTTTTCGTGACTTAACCTAATATAACCTATGCAATTTTTTCCCAAACCTGATTTCAGATGCATAAACTTCAGTTTTGTTCCATATCTTTATTGTTTCTTATCTAAATAACGTATCATAGACAAGCTTATACAAAATGAATCACATTTTACATGAATATAGAAATGAATCCGTTGAGTCTTTTATTCTTTAATGCAATATTTGGAAAATAGCTTTCTGAGTAGGGAGACGCTCTTAAGAACAGATCAGAATTCCATCTTAGGCTGTCGATGCTACGGAAGTTCTGTTATTGTTGTGTATTCGCCATCTATTTGTAGCAAAAATAAGTTTTTTCTCTGTACTTCCTTTTTTGATTGTGCGATTTTTCAGTTTACTAAAAGACGCGAATAACCACGAACATCTCCAAATTAAAATCTGTGTTAGTCAATCGATAGAGCTCGTCGAGCTGATTATAGCATTGCCTAATGAACATCCAAAAACTACCGTCAAACTCTAGTGACGGTCTATCATCCTAAATGACGTCAGTCTTCACATCTCTAATAATATGATGGAAACTTTCCTTAGCTAATTTACTGTCTCGTTTGGCTGCTTCCATGTTAAAGCTTATCTGTATACATATTGCATGACTATCTCTATGATCTACTGATAAAAATATGTCGAAAATTATAATTCAAAATATCATATTTTTTCGGATGAAATTCAGCAAAACAACGAAATGAATGAAAAGGAACACGGTAGCAGATGTCTGAATGTTCAACAGGTCTATGTTACACATTATTTTTATGGAAGTTTGTTAGACAAAAAGGATGAACATCTCTGTCAGTGCATGGACTGTTCATTATTTTCTTGTTCAAATTTGAAATAGCGTCCCTAAATATAATAATATTACTCTTTGTTTTTTCCAGTTAAAATAAGAGGAATATAATAATTACGGTTCTTTTATTTTCTTTTCGTCAACCCTCAACATGAGTTGGTTGTTAGTATCTCTATTTGATGGAAGTTTATTGTTTTTATATAATACATTAGTGAGTTCATTTCCAAGACCATGATGTAAATGTCACTCTTCTACCTTATGTACATCTTCCATGAAGATATGTTTATACAAAACGACAGAAATAGATGTCATAATCAACATTGTGTGTGTATGTATGTGTGTGTATATGTGTGTGTGTATGTGTAAGATAAAAAGACATTATTCCAATTAGAACTTGTTTACTGTCAATCTTATATCGAACTTCTGAAACATTATCAATCGTTAGTTTTCGCGTAAGTAAATGCAATTTTGTTCGATCAAATAGTTCGATTTGATCAATGCTAAAATAATTTTATTGACAGATCGTGTCTAACTCGATATCGATTATTAATGGTGATTTTCCGAATTTCCTTCATTTCTCCTATTGAGCGTCATACTGATTAATGCTCCTACTGCATATTTTCTTCTTTCATTCCTGTTATTCTCATACTGTAGAGAATGAATGATGAAGATAAAATATCTTTGTGTCTGATAATTTATGTAACAATTATATGTTACACAAAAGAAAAAAATGATCCTAAAGATGATATTACTTAGAATGATGACATTAAAAGTTCGTGACAATTGACTGAAATACTTTTTTTTTATCTTATTTTTGCCAATTTAAGAAATAATCATATATCACTACAAAGATAAAAACACTTTGTTTTTTGATGCAATCTTTCAAGAAAAGTATCTGTGACAATAAATGTCGGTCTGAGATTAAAATTGTAAATATACACTAGAAGACTGTCCTTCATGTACAAATTATCCAGCACCAAGAAAACTTTCGTTCGTTAGTTAAAATGTTCATTTACCATCGGAGGTTTGTACATTATCCATCCACACATATTTTCTCACTGGAAAATGAAATGTCTAGTTATTATATTAGTCACAACTATAAGATCAGCGAGTACCGTCATCCAATAACTAAAAGCTTATTTCTTTCAAAAGTAAAAGTTTTTTTCTTGTCTTCTATCCACACGTTTTTCGTACACAGTTGAACTGAGTCGTGTTTGATCTACTTGTCAGAAGAAAACAATTAATTTTGATCAATTTTCGTTTGAGAAATCTTATCAAAATTTAAGTCATACATAATTCAATAAGCTGATATCCATTTTGTAGCTGAACAAATTTGTTTTGTTGAAAAATATTTTCCCTTATCGAAAAACAGACTCTTATCTGAAAATCTAAGACTTTCTGTATATCCGTCTTAGAATCGTAGAAAACGAAGAATATTTTTCTGCATTTAGCATACACGTAAGATAGACTGATGAATATTTCTGTTAAAAGTTGAACAAGATCAGAGAGGGTAAAGCTAAATGCGTTGGATATCTCAATTCAAAAAACTTTTTCATAGAACAAATATAAAATATTTGAACTAGAAGTCAAAAGTGTAAAATTTTTTCGTCAATATGTGACTCGTTATGTGTACACTTACATTTAAAATCATTTTTTTCAGTTGAATTATATGAAAGAGACAAAACAAATTTTTTTTAGTCGAAGTAGCTTCAACTTTTTATTCATTTTTCTGAATGTTTTTCTCAATAAGAAGAACAGTTTATAACGAAATTTTATATGCCTTAGGAGATTTTTTAATAATGGTATTTATTATTATCTACCAATTAGAAGTAGAATATTTACATTTCACTTTTCTACTAAATAACTATCTCATTTCCTACTATACTATTTTTTCCTTCTTCGAAACGAAAGTCCTACCGGTTGAACATTTTTTTTTTTTACGTAATAAACAATCAAGTGAAAATTGATTACAGATATATATTATAAGTTAGTTTTTCTGCTCATTAAACATGTCATAGGATATGATTATGTTTATTATGATGCTGTTATTTTATCGACACATTATATTTTAAATGTATGTAAATAAACGTCTTTCAAGTTTCTCTGCATCTTCATAATTGACCTTTGTTATTGTACGTACTGCTAATGTAGTTGCTTTTATCTCTCTTTTCTATTTTATATAATTACTAATGTGTTAGATCGTTGATTATCATTTATTATTGTTATTATTAACATTGATGGATTGTTGTAAGTATGAACAAAAATAAGAGAAGAAAAAAAGGAGAAAGAACAAGAATATTGCAGTAAATAGAAGCACACAATCAGATCACATATCATTTTGTTCACTATAATCATTGTTTCCTCTTCTTTTTTCAGTTTATAATTTTGTAAAAGAATAATAAATTATAGGTTGTTCAACAACATCAATCATAATACATTTTCAATAAATTAGTAAAGATTCTTCATAGTAAATAATTTTTTTTTTTTTTTTAGAAAATAAATTTGTAAAGGTAAGAAATGCATAAAATACCTTTCTTTTCATATTATTTGTATCAAAAATGATCGTTCATAAAAGTTCAAAGAGTCTCCCGTTGCTTCTTTGATACTTAAAATTTCCTTTTTTTGTCTTGAAACCCAGTTGGCTAATTTACTTGAAAATAGATAGATTCTCTCTTCTACGCGTATTAAAAGAAACATAACATTTCAAAAACTATAAAAAAGAAAAGATTTCTACTCTCTCTCTAGTTTCGCAATTGTTGAATATGTTGAAGTTTGCAACTATAAAACATAATACATAATAGATGCTCAGATGCAGAAAAAAAAAATGTGTAATGAACAAAGATGAAAAAAGAGAGACCGTATGTATTTGTTTATGTTATTGAAATGAAATGTTCAACAATCTTAATTTACATGCATCGGTAAACTCTTGAAAAAGATTAATTGTATTTTTATGCTCAATTTGTCGTTTATTGAAAAGATAACGCATGCATGAATCGTTCATTTTCAAAGAGTATTTTTGAGAATCGAAATCACAATGATATCACTTGTCATCAGTTAACAGTTAAATTGAACGAAAAACTAACATAGACAAGCGTAAGTCAAGTGAAGAAGTTTAATTTGAGTTTTTGCGATCAATTGACTGTCTTATTGATAAAAAAAGATCCTCTTGGTAAGAGCTAAGTAAAATCTTTCTTTTCGAGTTATTGGATCTCCTACAGACTCCTATCTCATTATCCTGGTCAAAGATAGCTTTAGAAATTTGGTTTTAACTAAATTTTCGGCGTTTTTTCTCTTCTTTTAAAGATTTAGGATGATCGTTCAAATTAGTTTTTCTGAAATCCTCTCAAAACCTACGTAAGAAGAGATTTTTGAAATGTTTTTTTAATCGATATATAGCCTCGAGTCTTCTCTTTCACATGGCGTAAACTGCCAATCTCTAACGCTTTCGTTCTCAAATTATTCAGAAAACATCCATGTTCACTCAGTTATAAAATGGATACTACTATCTTTACTTATCAGATCACTTTCATAGATCATTGTAAGTAACATTTCACACAACATTTATCAAATGGCGAACACTATTTATCTGTCTTTTGGAGGAAGCTAGGCATCTCAATTTTTTTATTCAAAATATCAATGTCTAAACTACAGAACTTATGTCAGAAACATCTGCTATCGACAAACATCCATTATGTTAGACAAAATCCAAATATTGTAGGCTGCTGAAAAAATACAAAATTTTCTCACTTAATTTCATTTTATGTATAAATATGTGTGAAATAAAATCTGAATAAAAATATACCTGTGAAAAACTTGATTTACAGTTCTTTTAAAATTGTTTATATCATTCCATTCATTTTTCTTTACTCTCATCTTAGTTATAAATTTATGAGATATAATAAAATTATACAAGCTGCTGTTAGTATATTGAACGTAACAAATTTAGCTAGTAAAGAAAGTCATAAAAACTCTTGTTAATAATCAAAAGCTGAGGTCATTCAACTGATTATAATAAAATAAATGACATTTTCATCTTGTGAATAATAGTTGTATATATACTACTGTTCAAATCGAGAAAAGAGAAATTTTTTTTCTATATTTCAGATCTAATGTTCAATATTTACATTTACTTTCAACAATGGTTTATAATATGACAAATAATACTCATGATGATATTTCACATTATGATGAAACATACAGTTCTCTAATATTTTTCACTATTGTATACGTATTAGTATTAATAAGTGGTCTGGTTGGAAATTTAATTGTTCTATATGTTATTTTGAAAAACAAAGATTTAAAACATTTTACAAATTATTTTTTTGCCAATTTGAGTATTGCTGATGTATTTGTTCTTGTATTTTGTATACCAACAGCTCTCCATGATATTTGGGCCGAAGATCAATGGTATTTAGGAAAATTTTTTTGTTTAACAAATCAATATATTGAATCATGTGCCACCAGTATTTCATCATTGACAATCACAGCTATTAGTTTTGAACGCTTTATTGCTATATGTCAACCATTCAAAGTATGTTGTTAATTTTATACTGTTTTCTTAACCTTTTGAGTACGGGCGACGCGAATTCGCATCCTGAGATTTTGCGCTCTGAATAGTTACGTATTGCTTATTCAATGAAATGAATGACCCAGTTTTGTCTGCTGATCTCAAATATGTTATTAGTTTTGCTTGAAAATGTATGGGAAGGGCGCAACATACATAAAATAGCGAAGGTTAGAGGTAAGTGTGTAATCTTTCTGACAAAAGTTTCACCTACGTTTTCGGAATCATAAGTTTTCATGATTATGATGTACATTCAATTCAAATACTATAGTACAAAGAGCGACTCTTAGTTCCTCACCCTCGTTCTTCTACGTATGTTTCAATTGTGGATGCTCGTCCTAAATGAATTTCCAGAACCACACAATAGTTAGCCTTCGTAGTTTGGCTGGATAGTCTACAGACATTGTAGAGTCTTTGGTGCGATTTTGAAGTCAAAATGATGCTTCTAGACGGAATTGTGAATGTTTTTCGCAAAGAACCTCGAATTTTCAACAAAAAAAGCCAATCACACGAAATTCATATCGTCGATAGAGTAGAGTCGTGGCTGCATTTTTGTAAAAGAAAAGGTTTTCATTTCTCTCAGGTCAGACGCTATTGATATTTTACGGAAATGGAATAAATCGCTTATATTTCATGAACCATCCAGTAAAACAGTTCCAAAGGTGGTCGGTGATCAGCATCCGGTAAGAGCTATGATCACATAAAATTAACAGTCCCCAGCTATCATGGTACTTGAGTTGCAGGGGAGGGCTGTCGCTACTTTTGCGTGATTATTCTTAAAAAAAATAATCTGGTACGGAAAGGGTTAATATCATTGGATATTTGTTAATTTTAGGTTCATGATATATTTAATGAAACCTTAACACTTGTAACAATTTTCCTCATTTGGGCTATTGCCATTATATTTTCATTGCCATTTTTAATATTTTCTGTTTATGATCCAAATTTTGATAAATCTGATCATGTTAACATCACAGATAAAATTGTCTTGTGTCATTTGGATGCAAATTCGACAACAGCACGTACCTGTATTACATGGTTTATTATTGTTTTGATATTTATACCATTTTTCATATTAACATTTATTTATGCTCGTATTGTACTGGAATTAGCACGACATCATCGAACATCATTGAATAATATTGATGATGATACAAATGGTGATACACGTTCACATTCATTTCTTGCTTATAAACGATTTGAACAAAAACGTTTAAATACTGTTATTATTTGTGTTGTAACAGTGGCATTTTTTGCTTGTCAATTTCCTGTACGCATTATTCAATTGATTGATATGTATGCACGTATTCGAAATGAAACCTATCTACCACATTTAGCTTGGATTTGGATGTGGAAATTATCAAAACTTTTATTTTTTGCCAATTTTACAGCAAATCCAATTATTTATAATATTTTATCAACAAAATTTCGTCGATCATGTAGACGTTTATTTCAAATGAATCGTTCAATGAGTTTATCAAATTCATCACGAAAAGCAAGTATTACATCGTATCTTTATTCCAGTATTTATAATAGAAAGAAACAATCAAAATACAATGCCGGTAACAACAAAGACATGAACAATATCAATTTTAATAATAATAACAACAACAATAATCAAAATTTAATCAATGATTACGATATGTGTAGTAGAGACCTTGTTACACTAGGATTAAATGAGGATGGAAATTGTACAATACGAAAACAACAACAAATACCATTAAGAGCGTTTGTTGAGGAAGAAGACAAATAAGTTAGAGATGAAATATTTTGAAGAAATCGTTGATACTTAACATATTTCGAATGAAATTCGAAGTTTTTTCAAAAAAAAAGCAAGAAGAAATTATATATTTTACATTTGCACACATAGTTTCTTGTTCATTAGCTTGTAAAAAAAATCACCATTTTCAAGAACGTAGTAGAACAAATTCAAGAGTGATGACAAGCACAATTGAAATCACACAATATCCTTCTGTTTTCATTATCATTTATTTTATTTTGTCTTCTCGATTACTTAATCAGAACAAGAAAAACGACATAACGAAAAAGAAAATAAGGACCATTTTTGACGATTAATTTAATGAAGTTTACTTCTTATGAGAATAAATAAGAGAACAATCAAACTATATACAAACGTGTAAAATTACAAAGTTTTCTGTTTTTCATAGAAATAATATGAACATAGACCACTAAAAAGAAAAATGAATGAGTTGACTGTCTTCACATATTCCATAAAGAATTAAAATCAATCAATGATGATAAAGATATGATACACATGAAAATAATTCATGTAGATGATGAATACATTGTAATGTTGGTACTGATGACGATGGTGTTGATAACGTCTAAATTAAATTGAGATGTTTCAATTAGTTAAAAAGTTAAGATTTAATCTATTTTACATACGAACGACAATTGTACAGGTTTAAATTTGAATAAGAGTTTTTTCTCATTTGTATCAATAGTTGTTGATGTAGTAATAGTCGTTTGCAATAGCGGAGAACAATTTTTACATTTATGATCAATCGATTCAAATGTTAAATCATATATTGGCTCCTACATCAGAATGAAAATTCAAATGTAATTGATTCTCTTCTGAATTTTTTAGATTTATTGACATGAACAGAAATGAAAACTTTCATAGTTTCTAAGAACTGGCCATTTTAATGTATCATCACTACATCGCACTGTTCGCTCAAATTTCAACGAAAACTGGCTCCAGTTAGAATCATAGAATATAGAAATAGTTAATTTCTTCGAAAACTATAAGAATTACACTATCAATTATTCCTATAAACTGGTGTCGTATCCAATGGAAAAAAGATTACCAGCTGTTACACCTGCATATTCGTTGATCGTCACGCGTGAAGCGATCATCGTTTTTCGCATGATAAGAGATCTCGTTCTTGTAATTAATTAGTTAGAAGTCTGTTGAAAACAACGAGTGATCAATTTTCACTTAAAAGAACTGAACTAAAACTGTATCATCCCTAAATACTGGATGCACATACTCACTTTGCACATTTTATACAAGAAGTAAAATAAATCTTGATTCAATATTAATTCGTTTTTTGCTCGTGTTGCTGCCACATAAAGGATATTTAAATTTTCACGATGTTCATCCATATTTACTTGATCAAATGGTACTAAATAATTTAAAAAAACAATAGTAAAACCTATTTTAATCATCGAACTGCTTTTAACGGTTCTTGCACATTTACCATCTTGCGGGCGAGGAATAAAATCATCGGCTAATAATACGATCGGAAATTCAAGTCCTTTGGCTTTATGTGCGGTAGAAAGTAAAATGGCTAAAATTAAAACAAAATTAAATTCATCTTTATTTTTATTTCTGAGTAGACAGACAACTTACATGCAAGCCGTGAATCTTGGCAATGTCGTTCTCGAATGCAATTAATTTTATCAAGAATTGTGTGTGAATGTTGTTGAACAATTTTTATTTTTCCTAATAAATCCACATCACCAACATCTTGTGAAAATTTTTCTAATAATCTAAACGATTGAAAATTCACTAATTGTGGATCTTTAATTTGATAAGCTCGTCGTCTTCTCTCTTCTGGATCTAACCACAAAAAATAAATATCCAAAATTCGATCGAATGCATAACTATCAAAACCGCCAACAAATCCAACGTTTGATATATTCATTTCAAATATTAATTTAACAGCAAAATTGAATAGAGCAAAATTTGTACGAAATAAATAGGCTTTTTGTTTAGATTGTTGTTGTTGACCATGTGTCAATGATGAAGATCGGCCATCAATAAAACCTAAAATTATATTTACATAGTAAAGTGTATTAACATATTTATGTATGACCTACATGAATGATCATTTCCAACAAGATATTTTGTTTCATTACAAAATTTTTGTAATAGTAAATTTGAAACAAATGCAATTTCATAGCCGAATCGAAAACTCTAAAAATAAGAGAAGTTAATTCACTATAAAACGAATATCAGAACACACACTAGATACTATTGAAAACAATAGGAAAAGTTGTTTACTTTAGTTAAATAAAATGTTACGGTCGATTCCATTTTACTCATAGCATCCACAGCGCCTCGAAATGCATAAATTTGTTGATGACGATCACCGACTAATATTTTTGAAACACGTTGATTATTAATTATATCGATTACAGCTAGAAAAAAGGGTACATAAACACTATATAAAACACTATCTAGTATGTTCATAAATAATTTTTACCAGGTGTTAAATCCTGTGCTTCATCAACAAATATGCAATCGAACGTTAAAATCTTTGGCTTTGATAATTGATAAAGTTTCAGATACCCATCATGTGTCATCAAAACACGATTATCTTGAGCATTTTTCATTATTGACCACACAAAATCAGCATCAGAAGCGATATTCTACAAATAGGAAACAGTAGTAGATGGAAAATACTTTTTGATAGTTCATAAATGGTAGAGAGAAGTAAGTTATGATCATTCTCCAGTATAAAAGCGCAACGTAATAGTTTTTAATCTTTTTCCTTAGCAGAGATGTCGATCGAAGGTCACAGTGAAACATTAGGGCCGTAGTCAGCGGAAGGATTCGGGGATCGGCCCCCCTTGACTTTTGAAAAGATGAATTTTTCCACTGAATCCCGTCAGAAAAAGTTGCTAATTGATAAGACTTTAGACTATCTCTGAAGGCAAAAAAGTTGATTCCTCCCTTCGAAAAATTCTGGCTACGGGCCTGGTGAACATGAGTAAAAATAGAAACGATTTTTAACTACAATTGGATAGAGAGACTAGCAAAATAGAAGCAAAGTACAGTAGAAAATCAAATTTGTATGGTTAATAGAATAGAATTCAAGAAATCCATGTATCCCTATTTGGGATACATGGATGTAAATAATCCAGTGCTTACACGCTTTTCTTCTACTGTTAATACAAGTTGACTAGCAGTTTGATTTGCTGTATTTGATGTCCGTTGATCAACATGTTCTGAAATATTGAACAATTGATAGTTATTCATATAATTGCTATTTTATTTTAAATGAGCCTACCATCTGTAATACTGTGATCATCTGAGGCAATATAAGTATTCAATGTCGAAAAAACAAATCTAGCTCGTGTAAACAAATTATTTATTGGTCGACCTTTTTCACCGACTAGTTTTCGATTATGAATTACATCTACAATACTTTTAATGCGTAATGAACCCAAACAATCTTTATATTGTCGTCTAAAGTACGTAAAAGTCTTAGCATATGAACAATCAATGGATAAATAAATTAATTTACCCAAATTTAGCGAAAGCTAAACTATGAACCGTTTGACATTTCACATTACTCGGGAATATCGTTTCTGCATGAGTCTGAATAGCTCTAAATTGTTAAACAAACAGCGAACAAAAGTTCGATGAAATAAGAAACACAAAGATCTTACTTATTATAAGCAATGTACAAAAAATTTTCATCCATACGTCGTGCAGCATACGCTATAAGCGTTGTTGTTTTACCCGTTCCTACAACATAAATATCTATATTTCAATGCCATATAAGACAGTCAAAACATCGACAAATTTAAGAAGTAAACTACCTGTCCATGTCGTCAAAATCGGCAAGAAATTTTCGATTAATCACGATTCCTATAATGAACCATAAAACTATCGTCGATTAGTACCGATTTTGACGTCATGGATGTTTACTAACCTCATACCTGCAAAGGCATGTATTTTAATTGTTTCATTGTACTCTAGATTATGACATAATATTGTTTCTTGTTGTTCAGTTAATTGAAGGGTTGATAAACTTTTAATAAATAAAAAATAAAGTAGAATCATTGTGTTCTTCTAACATTTAAAAATTCTCACATATTTGGTTGATCTGATAACGAATGATACATATTTAATATATATTGTGCAATTGAATTAAACTGATTTAAAACAGAATCTTCCATTTCTTTCAAACAATAGTACAACATATACGGATATCTAAAAGATAAAAATAAACTGTACATTAATGAAAATTAATATGTATCGAATTTGTAATTAATACGTACCGAAATTGTACTACATCATGCAAACGTCTAGCACCGGTAAATAATGTCAACAAATAATAAAATAAATCAATGATAGTTTCATATTTCATATTAGTCGTTGACATTGAACAAAACCATAAACGTAATAATTCACGAACAGAATTCACATTTTCAGCTAGTATACATATAGCTATTGTTGTACAAACAGGATTGAAAAACTTAAACAAATATATATATGTTTTACTCAACTATTAGACAATTTCGACAGTATAAACAACAGAAAAAGAGAAAAGAATTTACTTTTGATGTAAAACATTTAATTTCATATTTATTATCTTTGTTTTTAGATAACAAATCAATAGCATAATCATACATTGAATGTTTTTTCAATTTTTCATTTAATTGTTCCAAGACAAAATGTTTGAATTTAAATCGAATTGTGCACGGATCTTCATTTATTGGTTCAATGATCTTTGCACCCTCGCTAAATTACAATAGAAGAGTTCAAATAGCTAATTATTAACTAGTAGTTTAAACGGTAAATTTACTTTAAAATAATTTCCAAAATATTATCATGATTTGCATTATTCATCGAATAGAGACGTTCAATTTTTGTCAATGCTGTTTTTTCTTTATGTTCATAACGTAAAAATATTTTTGCCCAACAAAGAAACTAAAAAAGGAATGAAATAAAATAATGGTATTTAAAATTTTAAAACTAATTGACTCATGACTTACATTTCCATCATTCACAATTTGTTTCCATGCTTGACAAACACACTGAACTTGAGTTAATAATTGTTTAACTGGTATATACGAAAATATTTGTTGATAAATTTCAGCTGGTAAATTTAACCAGTTTGGTTGATTTCTATTTACTGATGCACCACCAACTAACCCATATGGATCACAAAAGTCATCATTGTACGATGACCACGATTGTACTGGCACAACATCTTCAAATAAAAATTTTTTTTTTCGTTTTGGTTTTGTTATTGTTGAAATTTTTGATTTTCTTTTGGCTGGCTGTTGTGATGGACGTTGTTTTTGTATGATAAAATCATCATCTTCATCATTAGCAGCTAGCATAACTACACTTGAAACAGATACTTGTGAAATATTATTGTCATTCGGGCGTGAATCGTTGATATGCTTTTGGGGAAATGTATGTCGTCGATTTTTAGTGTTACTTGTTTTTTGTTTTAAATCAAAGGCGTTTATTGTCGAACGAGAATTAGATGCTGGATAACGTAAAGCGTCTGTTGATAACTGGTTACATTCCGACGTTGGTAAAATTTTTTTACGTACTTTTGACATCGGAAATAATCTTTTATTCACATCTGAAATAAAGTGAAATCTATTAAGAATAACAACGTTTCGCAGAGCGTGCTTCATGTGAAGATAAGAATTTGTGAGAGTCGTAGAGATATTAATACATTTATCACAAACAACTTTCTGTGAAATGCGATGGAGTACGACGATAATTGGATTTACAGAAAAAGTCTTTATATATTTCAAGGTTCTTCTCTTCTTTTCTTAATTTGATCAGATGTTTAATTTAGGTCTAACTTAAATCCCTTGTCTTTAGTTTACCAGAGGGCCCAGAATTGCCAAGTGTAAAATCCGCAGTGTTAAAATCGGAAAAAAATGGTATTGAAAATCGGAAGAAGCATTTTCCAGAATACCTTAACAAGATAAAGATTTCAGGCTTTTTCTGCTATAACAATACAAGTTTGTTTTTTTAACAGAAAAAACACATTCAATAACAGTTAAATCTTGTGATAAATATGAATGAGCATGTTTAACGCCATGAACTACACATGTCGCTTCAATAGCTGATACTTTATATAATCCAGTAAATGGTGTAAAAAATGTTTCAGGTGAGTCTAGAATTCGTTAAGAAATACAAACATTGCTTGAGAAGATAAATCCAAGGGAATTGGACTTACTTTTTTGGTGCGTTTTTCATAAATTCTTGATGTTTTACAGCGTCTACATGTTTATCTAGGGCGTTTCTGTCCCCACCACAAACCGATAAATTACAATTACACGATGAACAACGTACTTTAGTAGGTTCATGACGAACTTCTTGTAAAACGCCAGAATATTTGGGATCGTTTAACCAATCTTTGCTAAAAACCCCTTTTTTTGTGCTAGAAACACCGTTGTGCTTACGTTTTCTAGTGACGTTTTATATTTTTTTTATCTTTATTCTCAACTGAACCCAATGGAAAGTCATTCTCGGAAATGTCCCCTGCTATCGATAATGCAATAATGTCAAAAAGCATACGACCTTACAACGATTTCTTCAATTTAGGAGATCAATACCTAGACTATTATATGCCTTTATGCATTAAAAAAAAATTAATAGATTTTTTTTTCCTATCCTGTTGGGATTCCCAATATATAACATAGAACTGACACATGCCATGTGCGTTTCTCTTTCAAATAAACGTGTATATGACACACACTGTGTCGTACACACATAGAAAAAGAAAGAAAAAGAAGTGCTTTCAGTGTGGCGTTATGTTAATCAGTTGAATTCTTTTAAGAATTCAAGCTTTTCAGAAAAAAGTAAAAACCTCCACAATTAATCAGAAAGTCAAAATTCATTTGGAAAAGAAGCTCAAAAAAAGTTCCGATAAAGCGGAAAACTTGGCAACCCTGATAGTGTCATACAAAAGGATTGTCTGTCTATCTGTGGGCAAAACATGAAAAATGCTCGTCAGGTAAATCCTTGGGAGAGCCAATCAAAAGAGAGAGCCAATAATGGATACACGTTAATGCAGTTGCGATCAGGACGACTAACACAAAGTCAGTAATGATGATTAAGTATGTAGGTTCCACTAGAATCTACCGATCAGAAGATTAATTAATTATAGATCCAGTAGAGAGCGCCACTTTATAATGTAACATAAATTGCAACGAAAAAATCATCCTAAGAGAGCGCTTCGTCGTAAAAATTAATAGAATCAGAGAAAAGGTATTCCTTGATAAGAGCCGACTATGGAGGATGCGTGAGAACTGGTTTCAGAGACCTCGGAATTCTAGAAAGCTTCCGAGTTTTCTACCTATTTCTGAACTGTTGTCTGTGCAAAACGATGGCTGAGCATGGCATTCGATGGCCGAAGGCCTCTATGGGTTTCTAGAAAATCTTCAGCTTTGCAACATAACAGGAGATGAAGAAACTTTTGGAGTACAGGTTTTTCAGCATCGATCAGGATCTCAAATTCGGTGACTGATGAGGGATAGAGCAAAGGACTGTCATAGTGATTATTTGTCCTTTCCCTTATCAGCCCCCGAATTTGAGAACCCTGACAGTGGTATGATCTGCTGATTTTATCTAAGGCCATAAAAGACTTGCCTGTATCTGTGTGTTAGATGAAATATGTAGTGGAGCAGAGCAGCAAATTTCGATAAGACTAAAGAGGACCTCCATCAACCTTTTTAGATTCATATTGGATTACGAACTTTTTATACTAATTCAGAGGAATTCGAAACATTTCTCATCAAACCGATATTTCTTCAGTGCAGATATTCACATTTCTGTAACAGATCAGTGCACACTGTAGACAAGATTTGTACCAGATTTCTACAGATCTGGTGCAGATGTCAGCAGAATTTTAACAGATTCTGCACAGAATCTGTTACGAATCTGGCGAATACATAACCTCTTTCATAGGTTTCTAGTTCACGTTTCCACTATCCTAACAAAACTCTGAACTCGAGAGATGGCTGTGCAACCGCCGACCGCAGGAATGAACAATGGTTTCGATCTTGAAAATCATGATTTCTGTGCACAATGCATTGCTAGTGTATGAAATACAGGTAAAGTCAAGGGACCAAGCAAATCGCAGATGAGCGTTACCTTGTGTGAAACAGACTGGACTAGAGCCTCGTTCATACAGCAAAAAATTTAAATCTGATTGGTAAATCAGATATCACTCGAAATGATATCGACTACATGGTCAACGAGACGGACCAATGATGAATAACAACAAACTCTCTTTGTAAGGAAGATGTGTTCTTTTTTTCTCATCAAGATATGCTACTGAGTAAATTTCTACTGAAGAACGCTGACTTCTACGTGAAATACATAGGAGTTACAGTTCTTCAATAGAAATTTCCTCATTATTGACCCGTTTTTCTTCCATTCGTATGAAAATGCATTAATCGTGTGTGAACAATTTGGGAGTTATCTTATTGGCTGATTCGCTTCGTTGTCACCCTTTTTTTTTGTTTTAAATTATATCCAAGTTTTAATACGCAACCTGATCATGAAGACTATTTTACAATTTGATTGCTACTTGACAGATAGTTATGTACTGACACTCTCATTTGCGTTTTTGAGCAATGTGGTAAGCGTCACTTCAAAACAAAGTGATTCATCCCACTCTAATTACACAGCTCATTAGAAACGCTGAACTAGTATGAAATGCTCCGTTGCTACATATTTTGAACTCTGAACAGCAACAACTGTTGCAAAACATATTAGATTTAAATTCTTTACATATAGTTTAGAAAAAAATACAAGATAGCCCAAAAGTTAGTTTACCGAGATAAAGTGTAACTGAGTATTTTAAGTTTTTCACAATTGTTTCCTAATAGTTTTGATCGTTTTGACGAATGCATGTTGATATTAATAATTGTGACGTAAATAAATAATTATGATGTAATTTTGATGGAAATAAAAATAAAGCGTCCATAATAATGTGTGTCTATCTCAGTAAACTAACTTTTGGGCCACCCTGTATGAACATTGAAAATTTTCTCACCCAGAGTTACAAAAGCAAGAGTGTATCAAAATTGAGAATGATCTCCACATTGACGATCGTAAAGTTAAAAAGATTTTTACAGTTTTCAGAGAAGCTTGAAAAAATATCGCTGTAGTTCCATTTGCTTTTACATCAATTTTTTAAACAGCAAACCGATGAATGGAGCATGGAAGTAAGTAATTCTAACTGAATTGCCTCTCAAAATACAACTGTACTTTCTCTGTCATAGGCGATTGGATACCGTCGTTAATTCAGACAATAAGAAATTGTCTTATTACAAATGATACAGAATCAATGTACGTTGAATTTCAGAATTTAAAGAACCTTCCATTAGGTCAATGCGAGTCATCAATTTTAACCTTGTGTTCCACAATGAAAACATGGTCACAAAAGAACGGGAATGATGATGAAACACAAGCAATCGGAAAATCATCTTTGGACTTTTTCTATTGTGTTATGTCAATGATGACACAATTCAGAGATTTATTATCTCACGACAAATGGGTAGAGATCTGGGGATTAATCATAAGTAATCGATGGTCAACTGACGAAAAAGTAAGGTGCCGGCAATTCAAGATTCGAGTAAAATTTCTTTTTGAAATATTTATATATGGTTGGATAGAGCACATCGAACTGAGTAAGGTAAAGTGGCTTTTAATTGTTTTCATGTCCAAAAAATGAAAAAATCAACGGATCTAAAATCTCGAAAAACCTTTAAATTTCAAAATTCAAATTTTTTTCTTTTTCGTTCTTCTAATTTTTCGGAAGTGCTTTTTTCACATTCAACATAAAATACTGAGTATGAGAATGAGGCTTGATTGAGGTTGAAGTCAAAGGTTTATCCAGTATGGACGTCTTGGACTGCTATGAAAAGTTCATAAACAATTTTGCAAACCTATCTAGCTTTTTTTTGTGAAGAGATGAAGCAGACTTTTTTACTTCATTAGAACCGCCGTTGAACGAGCTTCAAAAATATGAAGCGCTCGTTTTCTTTTATTTGTTTCGTTGCCCAGAAAACTCGTTTTTTCTAAGTCAATGTCAAAAGGTATAGAAATACACTCGTATTTTGCGATTTCCACCACCAAACCTCAACTTTTTTGCAAAATTAATGTGACATTCGGAATCAACATCAAAAGCTGAGCCGGATGCGGTCCTTCACTGTTCTATTCAGCAACTTCAATTTTTTTTGAATTTCTGCATCGAAAAAAACCGAGATTTTCACCAAAAAACAAAAACTAGTCTAAAATTCGCGGACAGGCCTCATCCACTCAGTTTTTGATGTTGATTCCGAATGTCACATTAATTTTGCAAGAAAGTTGAGGTTTGGTGGTGGAAATCGCAAAATACGAGTGTATTTCTATAC